TTCTTCGTAGTTCCTATATTCTTATACACGCAAATTTAATCAGGTCAATTATGGAACGAATAGATTTAGGAAATGGTTCAATTCCATTCTATTTTTCTATCTTTATTTTTATGTTAATTGTATATTATATAATGATGATATATAATGATATAATGATATAATGATATAATGATATTATATACATTCTTAAAATAGCACGACGATATCACAAGCCTGCGAGGGTTAGTAAAAAGCAGAGTAGGTGAATCCGAGAGACTTTTGATGCTAAAAACAAATCTAATCAAATAATTCAAAAATGGCTATTTCGGCTAATTTTATGAATTTATTATGGGGAACCTAATTTTTTGAAATTTCTGCCAATGATATCGTATAGTACTAGTACTAATCTTCATCTTTCAAATTTATTTTTGATTGCCGCACGATTTTTTCTCGTTGAAATATACAAGTATAAAGTTATAGGAAAATTTATGTTAAAAAAAATTTTAAAAGCATCAATATGACAGAGCCCTATCACATCCGTTATCTTGAAATTTTAAGGATTTTTTGCATTATTTAATCATAAATTTTACTAAAAAATCTAACGTGCTGGAAAAATTCCGCAGCCAGATTCGTTTTCAACATCAGAAAACCTGTCAGATTTATCTACTCTGCTTTTTATAACTAACAGAACCTGAAATTTCGTAGTTCTGTGTATTTAATTCATGAAAATCAATATTGTACTAAATTTAATACGCAATTAGATTAATAAATTACTGCGTTCGTCCAAAATAATTTATACGCAAACAATTTTTTATAAAATTATCTTTTTCAATGACGTGCTTTTTTGCAGTCGATTCAAATCGAAGTTCTACTGTATTTTGCAGATTACTATATTAAGGAAATGAATATTTTGAATCGGATCTAATTATTCGCTATGAACGCGAAACGCACCGTAACCTGTCATCGTGAAATGATGATGGTAACTTGATGATGATGATTCCACAAAAATAGATCAAAATTTATGTTTGGATGGCTTGCAAACGAAAGCGAAAAAAGGTGATTGAGATACCACGTGTCTGAGGAAAGCTTTCTGAAACTCTGTGCCACTGCGCCATTCAACATGGCGTAGCGGCACAAACTCGAATATTTGTGCAACATAGAGATCGAGCATTTTAACAAGAATGAAAATAGTCATGCGGTAGCATGGACTAAACGAGAGCTCTTAGAGTATCAACCCGATAAATTTCGGCTCCAAATTGGGGCGAAGGCAGATTAAACACCATCAGAACAACAACCCTGGCATCCATGGTGGTGATTCCCGGCGATGATCGGGTACAATCAACACAATTCTGGCTACAACAAGCTATTTACCCAGGTATATTAGGAGAAATGCGAATTTCTTTAATTTCCATTTACTCAACAAACATAAAAAATATCGAAGATGTTTTATTATTTTTTTAATAAATCGTTATCAATCAAATATTATCAATAAGCATCATTATTTGTCTGTCATTAATAACGAATTTTTCTTTTACTGTTTCGATATAATTTATCTTTCTTTAAAATTTGTTCTCATCTTATTGTTGGTCATTTCTTCCCTCCCCTTCTCCGATCACGTTTCGCAAGCTGTAATAAACAAGAATATATTTATACAAAATTGTTTACCTTTTTATTTTTCTTATCAAAAAATAATTGTAATTAAACACAAAAGAGTCTACATATTGTGAAAGAGGTTTCCGTATAAAAATAACTGATTATATCGGAATCGCACTTTGAGCAAGGAGGCGCAAGGAAAAGCGTTCGATCCCATCAAAGACGCGCCACTTCGTAGACGTATAGGATTTTCTACAACATATCGTTTAAGGTCCGTATTAGGCAACGTGGCGTAAAGCAAAAGCAATCATCCGTGCCATCATTGTAGCAATAATTTACGCCAATCGCGCGCTTGATCGAAGTCAACTTTTCTTTTAACATGAGCTTCGTGCTTGGACGGTATGCTTTATTGACCTTGAACTACAGTTTTTGTGTCCTTGATATACTTTTCTCATTTTATACATTTTATACATCATCCGAGACATTACTACTGAGATTCTGTACAAAAGTCTCCAGTATTGGATTCTATTTAAATCGACTTCATTTTGATTGACAGTTTACAATTTGTTTTGTCGATAAATATATAGTAAACATTATTTTTTAGTAATATTATTAATATTATTAAATATTATTAATATTTTTATATATAATTTTAATAGAATTTTAAATTGATCAACTTGATCATAAAATAATTGAAATTTTAATTGATATTTAAAATAATTTAATTTTATATGAGTTATAATTCTAATTACAAATAATTATTTTTTATTTATTTTTACGTTGAACACATAAGTGACTGAAGTGCACATATTTAACATGATTGTTTTGATTGTTTATTAAATTCGTATTTACTTGTTTGTTTCAAATCGTATAAATAGATATTATTGAAGTTTCTTGTTTTCTTTGTGGAAAATGTCATGCAATGATCACAAGCTCTTCTGATAACTGATATTTTTTAGTAATGAAAATGTAGCAAGTTTTTAAAAAATTTTTAAAGTATCAGTTATCAGAAGAGTTCGCGATCATTGCATGACATTTTCCACAAAATAACAAGAAGCATCAAATGTCTATTTATATGATTTGAAAAGATCAAATAAACACACACACACACACAGTTTCAATAAACAATCAAAACAAATATATACATTGTAATCATTTAAGTGCTCGAAATAAAAGTAAATGAAAAAATAAATAGTACTAGAAAATTATATATATAGTTCTCAACTAAAATTAAATTATTCCAAATAATTTCAATTAAAATTTCAATTATTTCAAGAGTTTAAGCTGATAAATTTAAAATTCTATTATAATTTTATGTTAAATTAGAAATTATATATTCTATGTTAAATTAGAAATATATATTTATACATGAAATACTTTCTATAAATATATAAATGCATACTTAATTTAGTTTAACCACTTACAATTTGCCGGTATAGATAATATGTAATATATATAATATATATATATATATATATATATATATAGATTCTATATGAAGATTTTCAGGAAAAAAATGAAGTAGAAAATATAGAAATAATAATACTTTTTTTTGAAAGGATTATTTATTAAGTATTTTTAGAACATTATTATAGAGTATACTTTTGGAGTCGATTAAATTTTCTCTCTTACTTTTATCATGCAAATTGCAGGCACTCGAAATATTTTTACCATTCATGTATTTATATATTTATAAAAAAGTGTTGAAGATATAATACATCCAATAAAGATTATTAGCATGACCACGACCTGCCAGATAAATACATTTATTCTTCTAATAAGTCTTTTTAAAAGAAAGATGATTCTGATAATTTCTCCTATAAAAACAATCTTGATGATTTTATAATTTATTGATGCAAATTAAATATGATAAATTTTGAAAGATAATTCAATGCTATGGATATAATCAAATTGAAATATAATAAATAAATATAAAATTGAAATATAATATATATATATATATATATATATATATATATAATAAATATAATAAAATAAAAATAAAATTGAAATATATATAAATTTATAATAATATTATTATAACATGAAAATTCTCATCTTTACTAGTTTTGAGTGAAATCTTTGTTCTATACAAATTCTGTTTTAAATATAAAAATTTATTACTATTTTTATTTTAAAATATATAATAATTATTTATTAAGATAAATGTGTATCTATAAAAGATAAACAATTTCTATTAAAAAAATTAATTTAGAAAATACGCCCCAATAATTATGTTAAATAAAGCATGTAAATTATTCTTTAATAGGAAAAAGTGAGTTTAACAGATGCATAGAAAGATGTCTCCCCAAGTAATATTTATCTATAATATAATTGTCATATATAATACATAAATTTGTAATACATATAAGTGAATTTGGCATTTAAATATCCGTGAATCCATGGATGGCACACTAAATTTATCGAGATAATTAATAAAATAACTGATATTCCATATCCTCTTAATACGCTAATTAAAGTTTATACTGGCCTCAATCACTTGTTTACAACGACAAATATCAAATATGCGTAGGTCTTTTTCCCTATACCCGATCGATTCTTTTAATTTTAACAGGAACTAATTAACGCTTGCTAGATTGCTTTCCTTTGTTATAAGGTAATCTACGCCGATGCTTGTAGGGTGTGATAGACGTAATGAACTGCGTCGCACAGCACTTTATCATTCACGGTCTCGTGGACAAAGTCATAGTTAGCGTTACATGATTACACAAAATAAAATAAATAGATGTTGCTTAAATATATAGAATTCAAGGGATAAGACTCCTCTTTAAATAACGATATATGAGGACGATTTAATAAATAAAGTAACAAAACACATGTGCTATATGCGTACAGTTGTCAATGTTACCTTATTTATTGAATTATCCTAGTAGAAAAGATTCGTAGGCGATATTTTAATGTTAATATATTTTTGTTATAAATAATCTTAAGAACGATTTCAAATTAATCAAAGAATATTGTAATTAATGTGTGTGAGAATGTATTTATAATAAAAACTTGTATCACATATACATATAATCGATTTGCCTGAAAATACTATATGCAATAGAAATAAATTGATATTTGAAATTAATAATTTCTCTCTTTCTCTCTCTTAAGATTGTTCCTTGAATAATTTTTTATTTAAATCTCGACCAAAAAGAATTTTAAATTACATGTTCAAAGGCAATATTAACAGAAAATGTGTGGGATGATTTAAAACAATATTATAGATATTATTCCTAAAAAATATTAATTCGCCATAAATGGAAAAAGATATATATATATATATATATATATATATATATATATATAATTTATTTAGTTAACATTCAATACAAATACAATAACAGAATTTTCTTATGTTTCCTAAAACTTAATTGTCTGTGAAATTACACGAATCTCACGAATAACGTGTCTGATTTTAGGGTTCGGCGGACTCGAATTACTCGCAGCCGAGCTCAGATCTCTCGCTGGACGAGGAGAAGGAAAGCTTGCGACGCGAGAAGGAGAGGCAGGCCCTCAATCAACTCGAAAAAGCCAGAGTAAGTCATTGATCCCCCGCGTGCTCCAGTTTACCTCGTTCGTTTACAGCTACACGTTTTATCTTTTTTTTTTTTCTCATGCTGGATCATCGCATATCGATTAAGCGGGCATATCTTATCACATCCATCGTATTTCATCACGGCATCATAAACATCGAGAATTTGCATGGAAAGTGACGGAGGTGGAATTCCGTCCGCGACGGAACGCAGTGTCGAGATAAGAAATGAGAAAAGATTAAATAAAACGCAGCTCAGTAAAGTACCAATCAAACGCTTCACGCAACTTCTTTTCGCGCTTATACTCCAAGTTATGAAGAAAAATTTATGGAAAAATATGATCCGATCTAAGAATCATACGAGTGCTGCGAATGTCTTACATAGGACAATAACGTCGGTACTCACGTCGATCGAGAGATATTTTACAGAGAAAAACATGCATGGAAAATATTTGTTGAAATGCTGTTATGTTTTCTGTATTATTTTATCTTTTCTGATACAATTTTTATAAAAACAAATATATAAAAAAGAATAATCTGAAATAATCACAAATATATTAACTTGCTAAAAAAAATCTCCATTTAAAAACTCTCCATTTAAATTTACTTATGAAGTGTAAAATAAAATATTCAAAGTACAATATATCTTTTCTGTGTGAGTTGTAATTTTACATTTGGAAATATCTAGACAGATACAAGTAAGATTGAGTGAACGAAGATGGTAGAATCAGCTGACGAACGTCATTTCAAATAAAGCTAGGAAATATAGCAACATCAAATATGAAGATCTCATCGACTCAGTCTTCTTCGGCTTAGCAATGAACGGATATTGATTGGCAAGAGACGACCTTCGAGGGATAGTTCGTCGCAATAAAAATGAAAAGCTCTTTCACATCGCTATAATAGTCTTTTATTCTTTATTGAAGAGACGACGTTGTCACTGGCAATGCGTCCACGCATAAGCTGACAATGTGTCGATCGGCCGTGAAGCTTGCCGACGCGACGCGACGATGTAGTCGGCTTTTATTTTCCACTTCATACAAGCGATATAGCTATCCGTGTTTGTGTACATATCGCGATATAGAAGCTGCACCGTGACCCGATAGAAAAGTCGATAACACGGAAAGGGGGCGATGATACGTAACTAAATGCGGTGGTACGCGACGACACCGCGTTGTTTGCCATCCAAGTTGATAATCATAGCCCAGCTTTCTTTCTTCTGAGTAATCGCAAATGGATTGCAGATTACATTATAAAGCAGATGGATTCAAAAAAGATCATGTAAACGAAATGGATTTAGTTAAATAAATTATATCTTCTTTTTATATCTTTTGTTTTGTTTTCAAAAATATCGCAACATTGATTAAGCGAATATAATGTGGAATGTATTTATGAATTCTTTATACGATTTCCAATTTACGTTTCAGTCAAAGCCGGTAGCGTTTGCAGTGCGGACCAACGTAAGCTATGACGGATCCGTCGACGATGATTCACCCGTTCACGGCTCCGCCGTCAGCTTTGACGTCCGCGACTTTCTTCACATCAAGGTAGCAGGGCATGTTTAGATCTTTTCTCGCTACGCATTCTGAAATTTTCTTCGCTCATGAGCGATGCGCTTTCATCCAGGAGAAGTACGACAACAACTGGTGGATTGGCAGGCTCGTGAAAGAAAACTGCGACGTGGGTTTCATCCCGTCACCGGTGAAGCTGGAGGCCTTAAGGTTACAGGCGAGCGCCGCGCGTGGTACGAAAGGCCTGTACTCCACGCGAGGAGGGTCTTCAGGGAACCTTGGCGAGAGTGGTATGCCCTCACGTGGTTCCACACCACCTACGCCAGGTATCCTAGCACGTCCTTCTTTCTTTCCCCCAAAATTCACGATGTACTCAATTCGATGTACCTGATCGGGAAATTTCTCAGCTTGATCCTCGACGTGTATTACAGTGCATTACAGGCGGACGAATTATTGCCACAGGCCGGTAGTAAAAAAATGTGACGAATAAACGTTCGCTTGAAAAATTCTAAGTATCCCACTATTTCAGTTACACATACACCAGCTTTCAGCGCTTATATCGCCCCGAATTTTAGATCGAAGCAATTTCTGTGTAGTCCGCAAGTGAATAAAACTACGCGTACTAACGCATACGCAAATCATGTTTAATATTATAACATTTAATGAAACAGACTTTTTTTAATGTTATTACAATTTTTGTCAGATCTCGATATTAAATCATATTTTTAGCAAATCATTTATTGGGCTGAAAAATGTGTAAATACCTCACACAGATACGTCACTACGTCTGCCACGGATATATTCCTACAAGTGTATCTGGGTTTGTGCCACTCTCCACTACATACACCCCTGTTTAATAAGATTGGGTGAGAATTTTAGTTTGCCTGACAAATACAGATAAATTAACTATGGATTTTATCTTTGAGAAACTTTGAGAACAATCTAAGAAAATTATTTATTAAAATAATCATTGAAAACCGGTTGTCATATTATCAATCATCTTCCTTCCTATTCACATCTTTTCGTGACAATTTCAATAATAATATAAAACATTTACCCATTATTACATAAACATCTCTAAACTAAAATCCTAATTTAATTTTTACACGAGTTTATAAAGACAACATCACTTTGGATAAATATCTTATGAAAGAGAATTTGCTTAATAATATGGAGACAAACACTGTCCTCAAGAAAAATCCTACTAAAAAATACTTAAGAAACATACTAGTATAATGAAAAAACTCAAATTTTATTTTCATTTTCATCTATAAATCGTTATTTTGTAGTGATGGCTACCGAGGACTCACGAGTTCTTAAAAATATATAAATTAAATTGTCCATTTAATAGTTTCTTTTTGTAAAACAGTCTTTTATTACTTATTGTTAGTTTCTCATTTACAGTAAATTATATTTAAAAATTTTTGTATATTGCCACGTCAGAGAAATAGTTTTCAATGAGTAAGAAACACTCAAAAATATATACACATTAATAATATACACATTAATAAATCTAATTTAATTTCACTTACAATTAGTATTATTTCTTTGTTTATAAATTATCTTGTAAATTATATTTTTCTTGCAAAATGCAGATAACATATTCGAGAAATATAATTACTTATCTGATAATTATGAAACATTCTGAGTCACATTTTTTATCATTATTACATTCCTAAAGCGGAATTTCTCTTGGTTGTTAATTTTATGTTTTAAATTCTATATTTTTCGTACTCAATAGAATTCTTTATCAATAAATTTACGTATTCTCGTGAGCTCTCCCTTGTTCCCCATCATTGTGGGTATAGTATTACAAAAATTTGTAGAAAAGAAAGTCCTTGAAATGTTAAACTTCTTCCATTTGTTTTAGATATATATAGATGACATTGTTCTTGCTATTCTTCCTGATTTGATAAATTACACATCAGATATTTTTATTTCTACTTTCGATTGCAAAACTTTATTGTAAAAGTTTGACAAATAATAGATTAAACTTCTTGATATCCTTATGATTTTATAAAATATAATTTATGTGACTCATTTCATAAAACAAAATTTTTTTCAGACAAATATCTTAACTAATTATCTTAATATTCACTTTATCAAAAAAGACATTATGATAAACCAGGATAGATAATTTTAATGGACAATTGTCATTTATTGAATTTCATTTTTCAAAATTTCCACCAATATCTTAAAATATTATATAACAAATTTAAAGGTATAAAGAATATTATTGAACGTAACGAAAAAGCATTCTCTCACTTTACTTTGCATACATTTCTTCTATTACGTTTATTCCTTTCTTGCTGAACAATTTATTAATATTATTAAAGACTTTAATATTAAATTAACTTATCTTAATAAATTACATAAATATATCAAAATTCATAAAGACATCTAATTTTACCACACTTCATCCCTAAGTTTACCACAAAATTCATAAAAACATTCCTAAAACCTGTTTGCAATAATATTTTATATAAAATTAACTACATGAACTGCGATGCATCCTATGTAAGACAGACTTAAAGACAGTTATTTACTAGGATTTCTAAACATCATAGTCATATCAGGAACATGACAAATCATTCATATCAAAGTTCATAAAAACATCTCTTCGTTATAATGCATTCAATTAGAATGTCAAACAGAATGTTTAAACAATACTTATATGTTTATAATCGATATAAAAGTGCTAAAATTTTAAAAATGTCAACTATATAAACACACATTTATATTTATTACATCTTTTAAATTGTTTTACCTTGTCAGGAAATGATTAATTTATTTCTATTAATCTATCTTATACGCTCAACAAATTTTTTTGCGATAATTATTGAACGGACATTTAGATATGTATAAAAATTTTTATACAATTTCCTACATCTTTTCAATATCCATATTCACAAGTTATTTTTAGTTCTATGGTTTACATTATTTCGACTTAGCTAATTCTGGGAAGGAGCACGGTTTTGATATAAATGCTTTGTAGCACTATTATACACATAAACATACACATATATACTTCTACTAAAAAATGTTCTGATCTGTCAGCTGGGAAGGAGCGCGGTTCATGCTGGACATAACAAGTTTTTATGCACCTCTTGATGATGTGAGAGATGAAGGTTTGACCAACACTTGATTTAAAGATTACACTGCCCGTTCTTGATTTAATAATTCCCATTGATTTTACAATTTATATAATCATTTCTATTGTGACAATATTTTTGCGTTTTGTAGTCATTCTCTTTTATTGTTTTAAATTATGCTGAGAATGGCCCAAAAAAAGAGACCGAAACATTCGTTACATGTATGTTAAAATATTACGAATATTTACTTAAAAAATATGCGCTCCAATTACTGCGCTGGCTCTTATATACTATTTCTTTAATTCAATCTTATTAATTGTATAATATTTTTTTCTTCCTTGCGGTTTACACGGAGATGCGAGCTTCTTTATTTCTGCTCTCTCGCGGAAGAGATCGCTCACCGCTTTCTCTTCATTATCTACACGCCCTAGTTAGTTTTTATTACATTGCTAAAATTGTTAAGGTAAGTCACTTTATTCGTGCCACTCATGTTAGCACATCTGCGATTCTTAGTTCTGCTGTAGCTAGCTGCTGATCTTCGGTAGCCGCTACTATAAGCAAAACACGAGCATAAGTTAGTGAATTATATCTACGCTGCATCACATCAATTGAATGCTTCTTGATAGCTTCTTTGAGAGAAAGAGGGACTTGTCGTTCACTCGAAAATCAAATGAAATCTTGAATAACTGCGAATATATTCTTTTAACAGGTGACGACAGTGACAGTGTCGGCAACGTACGACCCGGCAAGGCGACCCTGACGACACCACCTGCTAAGGAAAAGCGGAAGAACTTCTTCAAGAAGCCGGTAAACATTCGGCGGATCATATTGTCACATTTATCTACGCACCATGCACATCTTGCTGCTTTTTGAGCTTTTACACTTAGATAAAATGTACGCACACTGGCGTGATGTTCAACGATGCATCATGCGTAATAATGAATATCATTCTGTGATGTTAGAAAATCTGAAAATTCGACAACTTTAGGTTTGTTTGCTCCGATACTAATTATTGCCTTAGAATAGATTATTTAATTCTTTTTATTTAACATCATTTTTATACAATGAAGATATCTAGACGCCACGATGCATCAGGTTCTTTCTCACACTAGTTAGGCGTACAAATAATATTCCTATCTAATTGCTCGATTTTGCAAATCTATACTGTGTCCATATTGAAACGTTTTGTCTCTAGTATTATTTTATAACATTGTCAGATATTTATTTATTTAGCAAAAATAATTATATTGAATAAGAAACATTAAGTTTCACTGCTTGACGTATATATATTTGAATTTATAACGTTAGTACTAAGCATTCGGTTAATGAGTACACGCTTTCATATAGAGAATGTTCCTCTAACAATAAGATAATGAATTTACCAGTCGACGCTGAAAAAATATTACATCCTTCTATGTATCTATAAGTATATATTTGCAATTATATTTTGAAATCTTGCATTCAATTTTAAATATATCGTTAAAGTATTTTCAGCGCGATTAATCTTTCTACAGATTAATACATTATATTTAAATTATTATTGTATAGTATACACACGAATTATCACACGCATATACTTTCCTTCACAGTACGTCACATATTATATCGATGTATATTTAATGCATACAATCCGAGAACGACTGGTAAAAACTTTATCACATACATAACACTCTTATCACATATATAACACTCTGCTCTCTTAAATTGAATTAATGAAAATGTCACTAATTAAAGCAGTAACAAGATTTTACCGAAAATTAATGAATATTTCACTGATCTTCAGTGAAAACACATTTTGCTCTTTTGTTTTAATTCACTGCAGTATAAGAAAAATGTTACTAAAACATCAGGCAATATCATTGATTCTTCTCAGTGAGATTTCATTATTTGCAGTGCTATACTTATAACTGAAATAACTGCTTATCAGTAACAATACATTGATTCCATTTAAGAAAGTGTCAGTCAATTTTTTCGCCATGCATACAGCGTCCAATGATCATCTTTGTTCGAAATCGCGCATCGTGATGAAAACTGTTCACCGCCGTAGGATAGAATTTAGTCGATGCGATTAGGAGGCCGTTAATACCTTAGTTCGATATAGTAGTTACTAACATGCTGCTTGGCCAAAGTACCTTCGATGTTCGAAGAGGATGTCCCGTAAACGGACGTTCAAGGAAGGGCTTTGGTCGTGCAGGAGGTCGCATGTGTCAAATAGACATGGCCATTAACTGATTTCAATGTTTCAATGTTGCATACCGTGCTCACACGCAGTCCTACGTAAGTGAGACTATCCTGGGGCCGATACCGGCGAACGGGGCTCGTCTTGATTGGCTGGACTGATCATTTACTTGAATTTTCAGGAAACTACAACCCCCTACGACGTGGTACCATCCATGAGGCCTGTGGTACTGGTCGGGCCATCGCTCAAGGGTTATCAAGTGACAGATATGATGCAGAAGGCGCTCTTCGATTTTCTCAAACATCGCTTCGAAGGAAGGTCTGTCTCGATTTTTTAAACAAACATCGTTTGCTCTCTATATTCGCTTTCATAATTAAGTTTAAGTAAAAATATGCATATTACTAACGTGCCATGCAAATTATATATAAGCAATAAAAAGTTAATATTTCACTCGTATTTCTCTTATATTATGAATTGCATAAAAGTTGTTAATTATTACAGAATTATTATCACGAGGGTAATGGCAGATATTTCATTAGCGAAAAGATCCTTGCTGAACAATCCAACTAAAAGAGCAATCATGGAACGCTCAACTAGCAGGAGCAGCTGTTTAGCGGAAGTTCAGCAAGAGATCGAGAGGATCTTCGAGCTTGCCAGAACTCTTCAGGTTTGTAAAAAAATATTTTAAACCAACATTTCTGTATAAATCTTTTTTTCTTTTATTATATTTATTCTGATATTGAGAGAACTCATAAAAGACAAAGTTTTTACGCAAGTAAGTTAAATAATAAAATTAATCCATTTCACGAGAATAAATTAATCGATCAATTTAATATACGCTTTCAGCTAGTTGTTTTGGACTGCGATACCATAAACCATCCATCGCAGTTGGCAAAGACCAGCCTGGCGCCCACGATCGTCTACTTGAAAATTTCTTCGCCGAAAGTTCTGCAAAGGCTGATTAAAACCCGAGGAAAGTCGCAGATACGTCACCTCAATGTGCAGATGGTGGCCGCGGAAAAACTGGCGCAATGTCCGCCAGATATGTTCGACGTCATCCTGGATGAGAATCAATTAGAGGAGGCGTGCGAACACGTGGCCGAGTATCTGGAAGCATATTGGAGGGCGACGCATCCGCCAGATTTTACCTCGGTGCCACGCGCCGTGCCTGCACCTGATGCACCGACGGATACGTACACGCAACGCGTGCCATCAGGTATCACGCCATTATTTCACGAGACCAAGCGAAGATCATTAAATCATTCAGTTGTAAATCATTTTTTTTAAATTCTATACTTTCAAATATTTCATATATCTCGATTTAATAAGACGATCGATTTTTGCCCACGATTCTCTCGACATCATTATTAAGTTGTGAAAATCATAACGAAATATTTTCCTCTCAAAAGATGATAAATACAGAAAAGTCTCTAGTCGAGCAAGAATGTTTTTCGAACAGATCTTGAGATAGTAGGAAGATTTTAAATAGCATGCGCGCAGAGGCAGAGATTTACTCGAAAGCCAATACTTCGGTCATTTAGTAATAGTTCTGTGGAAACCATCCAAGATTGTTAAGCACAGCACAAGAAACAATGTACAACCAACACAATTTATGACGATATATCGCTTTTGGCAATGATACATAGCACAAATCGACACGTAATACGTCGATTGACGTCTTTGGCACTACCGACCGGAAATAGGACTCGTTATGAACATATTTGGCAATGCACAAAGCTAGCTAGTGACCGAAATACTGACTTCGCGGAAATGATTTATTATGTTACTCGGAGAAAATAATTTTGAAGACGTTATTAACTATTTATTCAAATATCTCGAGTAATACTTAATATAGCATAAGCGCCATTTTTTTTGTCTTAATTATTTCGTGATGTCCTCTTTCGATATCCTGATCCTCGCTCGTGTCTTCTAGCCCACTCAAAAATTTAACGAGACCCAATTTCGCCATTAACATTCGATACTTTCTTCTTGTCCTCTCAGGTGCCCCTCATGAGCCTTATTATCATCGAAGAGGTAAATCAATATTCTCCTCGAGCATGTATCTCCACATACATATACTTTTGTACTTCTTGTTTTTATCTTTATCTAGCAAATGAATCGTTAATTGCATGTAGACGTATTATACGGATTCGTCTTAGAAAATAGAGTCCCATAAAGATCTGTTAAAAGAGGCTAGACGTTGCATTTTGTCAAACTCTATACGTTCTTTTATACTTTAGCATTATGGATTTATATATTACATATTCGGAATTTTTATTATCTTATTGTTGCATGCTATTCTACACACAAAATATAGCAATTTATCTTATACAATTGTTATATCGATATTCCAGATTATTGTTGTAGTAAAAAAATTATGTAACATTTTTCTGTTACATTATCTTTTATGACATAATATCTTTTAATTATATGAGAGAGAATTAATTATTTATGTATCAATAAGTATTTATTGCACAGACAGTTATGTAAAATACTTTAGGCATGTACATGGAGACATTTTGATGTTAAGTATAATTTTAAATTAATTTGTTTTATTATGTTATTAATCTAAAAATCGCAGAGGATTCTATTGATCAAAATACCGTAACTAATAATCTTCCAACTTCACATTTTGTCTCAATTCATCTTTTACAAGAATAATTCAGTGACAGCTGAAGCTGCTCTGCATTTATCGCATATTCGCTTATCATCAATTGATACCACCTTATCCTGACATTATATTTCTTTTCAGCGGGAATGTACGGATCGAACATAGGGATTGATACGAACTTGTATCCAGTGCAGTAAGACCGGGCGCGTTTATCTCTCTGTTAGTGCGGACAATTCTGCGTTTCGTTTTTTATTTGTGCAATCACTCCCCTAACTCTTTTCGTACAGTCATCAGAAAATTTCTTTTCCTATAATAAATTTAATATATTTAATAATTATTAAATATACATGCTTATCTTAATATTACCTTTATTTGCAACTTATTTCGTATATGTTGTATTTTGTTGATTATAAATGGATCTCTTATTAAAATTTTATTGAAAATATGAGAGAATAAGTCAATACGAATTTTCATATGCAATAAGAGAGATTTTTCTTTTTTAGATATATATGAGATCCTTAAAATTTTTAAAAATACAAAATTTGCAATTTGTAAAATTTAATGTAAAAAAATTGTAATATTTTCTTATCTTTTCTTTTTATAAATATATTATATAAAATGGACTTACTAATTTTTCCGAGTCATTTTAAAATTTATTCTTCGTATTTTACGTAAATCATAATTACTCGAAAGAAGTTGCAAAATCCACGGGTGCTTTTAAGCTACGCCAGATTAACCAAACTATTGCGCAATTGCGCAAGGCAATGATAGCTATACTCCATTTGTGAGTTATCTCTTACATATCTCCACAATTATACTTATCAATTTCTAAATTCTCTACGTTGCAATAACAAAGATCAATGTGCAGAAAAAAGTCTGCGAGAATTGTTTGATCTGCGAGGATGTCGCAAACTATGCACAAATTATAGGCCCTTTTATTATTAGCAACGAGCTCTGACTCCGATGTTCTCTTTGTTTACGTGTAAAAGTGGAGGCGGTGGCTGCCACGGGCATCATCCGAAAACAGAGCCAGCACAACTATGGTCATGGTGACCAAGAGACCAAGACGAAACACTCGAATTAAGAGGGTCGGAACGCGGGACATATCTATGTTGTCGCTTCTACTTCCTCCTTCCATCGCGCGGATGCAATTTTATGCGACATAAAAGCGGCCGAGAATTTTACACGCCATCCAACCTGTGAATATTAATTCCGGGTGTGGATAAAATTGAGAGAATTAGAGACTGTGTAATAGGAATACCTTTGTGAGAGCGCGCGTAGTAAGTACAGATGGGTTTGGTGCATGGGCCTGGAAACACGGAACCGACCCGATTTTGTCTCTCTCGAGCAGAGAAAAATGATTTATATTCCCTCTATCATTATATTCCTTTGTATGCAGTGGGATAACTATACGTTCGCCATACAAAAAACAATCAGGCATTTTCTAAAATATTATAAAATATTTCGACTTATAAATTATTATACATATGTATATATATATGAATCTGATTCTGCTTGAAAATTGAAAAATTGAAAACCTTGAAAAATTATTTCCAAACGTAAAGTTGTGATATGACTATTTACATAGATTTGTACCTGTGCAATCATTTTTTTACAATCATGCATATCCTCGAGTTTCATCAAAGAATATACACTTACTTTTAAAGAAATTTCGAGATTTTTACACACAATTTTATTTTATTCATAAGTCATTTTTTGTCTTTTTATTGTCAAGATATTTTTTTAACATAGTTTACATGTTATTAGAATATTGTAAAAATTTTTTAATTGGCGCAATTACGTCACTGTTATTCAATTCCATTTTTTGCCTATGATAACAGCTCCCTTGTCCTAATACTTAGAATTTTATTTCGGTTGAACTTCTATTTACGATCTGCTTTATTTGTTATTTAGATGCATATTACTCAATATTTTTTTAATTAAAAAAATATATATAATATTTTACTATATATATTATTTATAGATAAATATATTTTTATGTAAAACTAATGAAATCATATATTTTATGTTTCTAAATATCAGTTAAGATTATTTAATTTTTCATATTATGAAATTTGACTTCGATATATACCTTACATTTTTTTATTTTAAAATAAAAGTATATTATTAAAATTAGATATAATTTATAATTAATAACATAATTTTCATTTTCATTTCTTTAATTATGAAAAAAATTTTAAAAATTCTAACATATCACAATCAGAAGTTCAGTCATTATTTCCGCCAAACCTCTGTTTCATCTTAATATGTTTCGCAAGCCCTTCACCAACCCTTTACATAGAATAGGATTATAGATTAGAAATTATCTAACGGTAGAAAGAAATATATTAACGACATAGCCGCGTGAGTCGAGAGGGCAGAAGTTATGAAATTTCCTTATTCTCGTCGCGGATCATACGCGATCTATCATCTCGCAGAATTTATGTCCGAGGTTGCATTAACCGTTGCGACGAGTACACTCTTCTACTTCTCGATTTCTGCGCACCTGCGCAATGGTAGCTCGAACGTCGGAGTCTTTGCGACGTATCTCGTTTTTTATTTAATTTTTTTTTGCTTTTAGAGCTTGCATGGATTAGGTAGCGTGGAATGTTGGAATGAATATTGACTGGAATTGATCTCATCCTGGTTCATAACAATAATTACTTCCGAGTGGCGTTTCTTTCTTTAGAATAGAGTTTTCAACAATGTGATTATATATAGATAGCTTCTTGGCAATGGAATTTGCAATTGTCATAATTAATTAATTTTCGATATATCAAATTCTATTTTACTCCGAAAATTCAAAGTCTATAATTATATATAATTATATAATTTCTTCTTTTTATTATCTAAATAATTCATAAAGATATCTACAAAAATTCTCATTTGCATAATCGATTTTTTATTCTTATCAATAAAATATTGATAGTTTACTAAAAATAATTAAATAATGAGCGATAATAAAACTGTACAATTTGTGAAAATCGGAAACTGCTTGAGCATTTTAGCATAATTTTATACGAGTAGCTTTTTAATCTTTCTCTGTATCTAATTTAGGAGCCAGTTACGGTGCCGGGGATGTCAGCGGCGGAACAAGAAGATCGCGGCTGGAGCGGATGGATCGCGATCGGGGCGATCGCATGGATCACGATTACGGTGAGGAGGAGCACGGCGTCGATTACGGTAGTGCCTCGAGACGTCGCCAGCAGCAGGACTCGCGCGCTCTTAATGCTATTTAGGAGCTGGGGCCCCGGGGCCTGTCGCTACAGCGCTGTCCCCATCTGCGCACCACCGCCCTATAGCGGGCTCGCCTCCCGGTAACGCTACCGAACGCTAGGAAGTGCGCTACCTCGCGATAAGATCGCTGCGCTCTGTTAGTGGGGCTGTTTTCTGTTGCGCTAAAAAAAGGGGAATGAAAAAAAAAAGAAGAGAATAGGAATCCGCAGATCGACACGCGCCACCGATCGAGTTTAAAAGACGCTAACCATATATCGATTCTATCCGGGCGCATTTTCGAGACGATCTCTCGAGACGATTTATCTTCGTACCTGTTCACAACTAGAAAACCTCGCTATTGATGCGCTATCAGTCGCCAGCAGCGTGCACGCTATAATTCCGGCTTGCATTTTTTACATTCGCGCTGCTTGTAAGAGAAAGTAATTCAGATTTCATTGCTGTTTAATTGGGGAATGCGATTCAGTTGTGTTGTAACCGGGAAATTTTGTAACACAATCGAAACGTGAATCCTTATCTTCCGAAAGCTCTTGCATCTATAATAACGCATTATAATGTTCACCATGACTACTTCTTTTGCACCATCAAAGATTTCGATAGCATTTGCAATCTCAGCTCAATTGGTATGGTTACGCTTCATTAATGGATCAAAGACGATTAATGATAAAGCATTAACAATGTTTTCTTCTTCTGCTTCTTCTTCTTCTTCTGATATGCCATCAATCACCAGCAGCGTGCACGTGATTATCAAGACCCTTCATTCCGATAACTTATATCTTTTATCGAGCAATGATTCGATGCCAAAATCACCGTTCTTGGGCATTGCTGGACGAATTTCGTCAGAATGATACCAATTCCACACAATTCGTACACATATAAATCTAGAAACATATTTTCACCTTTGTATGTCGCGTCTTGCCTCACCGATCAATGTCCCAGTTTCAATGTCGCGTACTACTCTAGCGATGTCATCCACGCGATTGCAGAGTTACGCTATATCGTTAACCACAATACCGAACTATCTACACACGCACAAACATCATTGAAATGTACTGGTCCGATGACGTTATGCTTAAGAGCTCTGCTATTGCGTAGAGCGTACACGTCCATCTCATAACGATTATATAACATATGTACTATGCCAAATGTGTCAACCACTCATCATAATAATTGTTGGTCATGACGAGATGCACACGATACATGGCATCTTCTCTCGAGACATCTCTTATGCTATTTTACATAAAGAAAACATGACACGCGTTGTGAAATAATCTTTTAAAAATATATACTTGACACTACATCCGGTACTTCTCGTTAAATACACAAAATTGTTCGCATAATCAAATTGACTCTACACATTTTTCATGCGAGATGTTCACTTTCGAACAAATATATATTACTGAATACAAATATACGATAACAAAAAATGGTACGAGAAATTATCTGAACAATTTCAATCTTATATGATATTATCTACATTAATTATTAAAATTTATCGGAATCAATCAATTATTGTAATTATCGAAAATCTTCATATGTATACATTTTGACATCATACGATATTTCCCACATTTGATGTGCATGAATTCTATTTTTGGACACGAATTATTTGTCAAATTCCAAAATTTATCGCAATAAGGATGGACTTTTCTCTTCGATATTTGCACGCGCTTTTTCAAGTGTCGGAAAAATTCATCATGAATGCTTAGTTAAGAGTTCGAGCGTATATTAACGATCGTTTAACCAAACGATCTTTCTAACAAGAGTTCTAATCGAATCGAAATAATCTTCCTTGTCCATCGCAGTACACGCAGGACAAATTCCATTCGCGGAATCAGCTCAACAACACTAGTAGACGCGCGAGATAATCGCGTGGGACGAGGAGACCAAGACAGAAAGTGCACTTGAAAGAGAGTGAAGAGAGCCCTGGGGCCTTAATCCCTGCATCGACTTCTCCCGGGCCCCATAATCGAACCTTTATGTCGAATAACGATCGACGATCGACGCAGAACTGAATATTTCTTGTGATCGAGAAAAACTGAGATTTAAGAGAGGTACATTTGACTTCTATTCTAGAGTTTAATTATAGGGAAAGTGATAATGACGATTAATCGTAATTGAAGAAAGTTTATGATCGTTTAGAAAAATGACCAGCTAATCTTAATAGCTAATTTTAACAACTAATTCTGCTAGTAACCGAAACAGAAGAGCTTTAATGAAATTTCGTAGCTAATTATAGAGATTTCAATTCGATCGTCGATCATGAAAATGAATGTAGCCATCATAATTTTGCAATTACTTAGCAGCGATCTGCAATTGATGCAACTCTCCATCTCGAATTTGATCGTAGAAATTGAAATCCATCGTCGATCGCGACAGCAGAAGTAGCTGGACAATGACTTAACGATCAATGTAGTGATATTTACCATCAATCACGTAATTAAATTAGACAAAGTAACATAGAACTCTCTTGAGAGGGTTTTTGATTTATGAGAAAACGCACGAACAGTATGGCTCGAAAGCAGAAAATATCGATGTTGATATTAAATCCTTTAAAAGTTTTCGATTCTGATCGGACGCATCCGGTCGCGTCCCGCTGTAATGTGTTTATACGTTTTATTAGGACTATACACACCGATACACACTCTACATCAAAGAAAACGCTCTGTGTACATAGTATACATACATATAAATTGTACACGCAAATGATATAATGAATTCCATCTATATCGCTCGATGAATTTTAATCGAGACATGAAATTCGAGACATCAAAGAATATAATAAGAATATAACTGTTCAGCGAAGATGTGAATAAAATCTATAATATTTTAATTTCCCATAAAAAATTCTAGGCTAAATTTAAATATAATTTTAGTTCTCGCTCTATCGTTATACATATATAGCTCTTTTTCAATATATAATAATTATATGACTTTCATTATATAGAAATTTTCAATATATATTATTTATCGTTTCAATATATATTAAAACATTTTATTCACTTTTTTTAAATATTTAATGAAATAATTGTAAAAATTTCACATTGTTTGTGGCATGAATGATCTTATTTTTATTCACATTTCTCGCCTATAACGTTATGTAAATACTGTAAGAAGCCTTTAACGAGTACCGTTCAAGTACTCACTCATACAACTTCGACATGCTATGGATAACGCATGGATCGGTACTCAGCTAAAAGATACTTGTGTAATTAGGTTTTTGATTTGTTTTTATGCTCTCTCTAAAATTATAAAATACGAAAAATATATCATGTTACGGGAATCTCTTAGTATGTGACATGCTCATTGCGAACATCTGTTGACTTTATAATCTGTGGGATGATTCGACTGTGGTAAAAAAAAAAATAGGAAAAGATTGATCGTGTTGAATCATTTTCTCTCTTTTTTACAATTACATACGCAAAACATTTCCCGCCTAGAACGATATATCCACCTTGCAAAAGAAATAAATGTGTAACACTTAACGAAAAATATAAAATTTACGAAAATCTTAAGACGTTCTCGCAGCCAAGTAGCTTGGAATAGATCACGACTATCGGCATAAACTATCATTTAGGATATAATTAATTGGAAACTTTTCCTACATGCAGGAAATAATGTATGCGCTGAGGCGCTCTTAATTAGCGATGTCCTAAACTAAATGTATGTCGCTGTATAAACTAGTATAAACTAAGCGGCGGGTAAAAAAATCTCGGGTTTTTATTCTTTATATAATTTTATACGTTCCGAGCGCAATCTTTTTCTTCGTCCTATTTTTTTCGAATACCAAATAACATAATCGGCTATTCTTTTTCGAAACATTGATCATCTGGAATTAATTATTTATTTTATTGTAATAATAATAATATTCTAATAATCTAATCTAAAGTATGAGTACATTTTGCACTTTTGCGATTGAATCTCGATGCATTTACAAAAATTGTGAAATGTCAGGTCGTAATTTGAGCTCATATAGATCAATTTATTTGTTTGATTGTTCGCTATTAGATAGACATATATGATGGGTAAAAAATGCAATGATTTTTACGGTTAGATAATATGTAATATACATTTCGTTAATTGGTACCCATTTCTCGGTAAATTATTTTTTATCAAATAAATTAATTTATTAGAAAAGAATATAGAATTATATTAATAAAGAATTTCAATTTTTCTTTAATTATAAATCTATTAAAAGTTTAAATTGCAACACTAGATAATTAGATTAATCAGAAATTAATTTCAATCGCGAGACAAGATTGAATCATAATCAAAGAGACAGAGAAAACATATGAATTTGAAAGCTATCAGTGAAAAATTTATTTTTTTAAAGCATTACACTTTATAAATTCGATGATTGGTACTAATTAAGAATTTGTCTGTTGGAAAAAGCGTATCATGAAACATGATGGGTTTGTGCATGCTACGATCATGTATGCAACATTCGTTTATCTTTTTTAATGTTTAAACCTTAGATAGGTACATTTATATCATTGATATCCTCTCTGAAGTATCTTGAAGCTTCACATGAGATTTCGTGCCGACGCGAACTATCGCGTCAATATCGCTTATCAATGTTGAGAACATAAATTTTATCTTTTAGGGAGGAGAATTTTGTAAAAGAGATATAGATATAAATATCTCTAATGTTGCGCGTTCGAATAAGAAAATCGAAAGCGGCGGAAGTCTCGTTCTTTAGCAAATCGATCGATTGAAAGTCATCGCTGAGTCATCTCAACGTGAAATTTTCATACATTTGAAGATGATTAATCACGAGGTCCTTACGCAGCCCAGATTTGTACATATTAGGTAAATATAGGTTTCGTCATGATTGCTGTGAATTTACATAAGAGATATTCACACTATTTTTGCTTCCGTACGACAAGTTCGTTTATTCGCGTCTATTCGCATCGAATGAGATCAGTCCGAGGAAGTGTAAATACGATATTCTCGATATAAAGAAATCCGTTTCATTGATCTTCAAATTTATGCCTGTAAGCGAAAAGTGATTTAATGAAATTTCGCAATATCTACATTTATTTGATAAATTACTTTCTTTTTTTTAGCTACAAAGATATGCAATTTATTGTGCACGAAATAGGTTTAAAATATTAAATATATATTATATTAAATATATATTCAATATTGTTTTGAAAATTTAATTGCAACGCTAATTTATATTATAATAAAAATCAATGAAGCGTTTTTCTGCACATCGAGAATATCGTTTTGTTGATTAATTGAACAGTCTGCTTGTTTGTGGATCGCAGATCCGAGCAAAGCCATACGCTATGATTATAGTTGTGCAAAGTATATCTTATAAATAATTTATAATCGTCGAGATATATATGAAAATTTTTATAATATTTTATAACTCCTCGGGATAAGAAATGATGGAAATTCACACACATTCATGAGTGTATCGACTCATTCGCGTACACCTATTCAGTACATGTATACATATACACGTACAGAAATGTTCCTTTGGAGGAAGTGGATTTCACCTGCGGTGAAAATATCTTATAGGATTTGAGTGGCTTTGATCCAGCTCTTATTTTCCGTATCGTTGGTAATGTTTGATCTACATAGCGCTCAAGTAGCGTCAAAAATTCAGTATATAGCTTGATGGAAGCGATCCTTAAAAATACCCATATCCTTCGATCACAAGTGCTTAAATCGACGCTCATAGTTTCTGCGTTGTAGCTACACGATTGACCCAGAAGCTCGTTGAAATGGAAAATCGCGTTGTCGAATTTTGATACAAATACCTTCGAAGACACATCGAAAGTATGAATTATAAAACATTCTCCTGAGTTGTATTTAAAATAAATTTCGAATGTCTTTCATTTTGCGATAAAATTTATTTCGAATCAATTTAAGAGCCGTTTATATTTTGGAGCAATTTAAACTTGAATGCACATTATTCTCCATAAACAGAATATATGTTTATCTATCACAATTTCTTTCGAAATTCGGCGACTCGATTGGACGATTTTGTACAGAATAAGTTTATATATAGAGAGCCCCGTCGTCTAAGCGTTATGCTAGATAAGAAGCTTTGACTAATCGTGGATGATCATAAGCAAGGCGAAACACTGAAAGTCCAATTGGGAACATACGAATTTTCTGAAGACTAAAATGATTCTAACGAGTATCGACGTGTGAAACGAAGGCAGGAGTAACGAGGATAAACCTTCGATATTGTACGAACTGTGCGCGTGTAAGGTGCGAACTGACCTGATAATTGTATGGAATTTGGTTCGTTGGCTCGCACTGTGTGCACGTAATGAAAATTGTTCGCTTAGTTAATTGATTCCGGCATCGTCGACGGGCGCTTTTGATCGCTCTCGCGTAAACGATGCGTTCACTCGCGACGTTTCGGATTTAGATATTTATTTGTTGGAACGAGAAGAGAGTCTAACGAGATTGAACGATGTTGTTTGATTATATCGATAATTATCGACGATTACTTGTATAATTAAGTATTTTGTCGCACCGTGTGCACGCGAAAGATGTAAGATGATAGGGTTAAGAGACCACGTCTAGCTTCGAATGCGATCGGATTGAAAATCTCGAAGCTACCCGCCGGTCTAATTTGACATTATAAAACGTGCGCGAAGAAATGTAAAATTTTAACAAATTTGCTGTAGCGAAATCGTCGACGACGATAGCTTTCATTATCGAAACGATGATTCATCGATCGAGCGATCTCTTCGGGATGACAAATTATTTTTACCGATAGACTACGCTTGAAGGTAACTCTGAATTGCTTAATTATTTGATTAATCTCGTAGAGCGTATTTGTAAAATAATTCTAATCCCGAACACAACTAATAGTCATAAAATAAGATTTTATTATACGGATTGCAAGTCTTTATAAGTACCTTTTAAGATAGGATAACTTGGCTGGAGTAGTAAATTTTTATTAGTCGCTTGCAATGCTAGTAATGCGCCGAGTCGTCGACGACGATTTCCCTCGTTCGTCCCATCGACGTGTTCACTGAATGCAACCCCACATGGTTGGAAGGTCCAAACGAGGATTAAAGCATAGGCCTTACGTGTCCTAGCGATTGAATACGACGCAAGGGAGACATTCGGCCAATGCGAATCCCCTCGGTATGCTTAAACTATCTGCGAAATGCCTGTCCTTGTATCGAGGCTTATGGCTTTCGCAATAATATTGTTGGCGATGTAATGCGGTTTCGAAAGTATATCTGTATAGCGAAAAGAGAGGAAATGCGATGTAAGATTGTTTGCGGCGTAATGTATCGGCCCGAATCGATGTGTTTTTACTCTCAAATAAATATGCATTATATCTAATTACAATAATGAATTTTATTAAGCCGTAATTAAAAATAGTCCAACGACGTATGTTTCTATAAGTATTTAAAAATGCGGTACAATTTTTTCATAAACCTACGTTGTTAATTAAAAAAGCAAGACATTTTTCGATAAATATCGGTAGGGCAAGACTGTAACTTCTTCAGTGTCAGTAAATATTCTAGCGGAAGCTCAAACTTATCATGCATGTAACCCGACAATCGTCAATTCGGGCCGATGAACGCTTAGACGCAATTCTGTCGCGTGTGTAGGAATTGTGTCAAAGAAATGATAGACTTTTCGTGCACGCGCGAGCGTCCTCGATAAAATTCCCTTTCGTGGCTGGTTCGTCGGATCAAAGATTTTCTCTGTATATTATCTATATTACTGTCACACACCATACAAGCGCGCGATCAGTATCGCGGAAAATATTTCAGCATGTGGCAATATGTTCCACGTGATCCATTCGCGATCCATTCGTTTTCCTTGAGAAGAAAGCTTTATTTCACTATTGTTGCACTGATAATGAAGGAAGCGAAAGAGAGAGAAAGAGAGAGAATGAGAGAGAAAGATAGAATATTTGTAAGCTATGCGTTGAATTGTATCAATCACATTGCTACTATTCGATCTAATTGTAATGATCGCAAGATGGATGCAAGACGAATTAAGAAAAGAAGAGAGAAAGAGAGAGAGAGAGTATGCGTGCGTGCGTGAGCGAGCGAACGAGCAAATGAGAGAACACAGCTTGCATATGATGCGCGCAGTTGTTTGGAGACGGAATTGAGACGTCTAATTAGTGAGATATTGTACATTGTTCTATAGCAAATGAAAAGCGCTACGATCGTTGCAGCGCGCTCCTCGTGAGTCCTTGAGCGAGGATATCTAGCTCTCTGGATGTCAAATTGAAACATTTTCCGAGCGAACGAAAGTCTCGAGCTGACTTTCGAGGGACGAGATGCTCCGATCGTTTCGATGTTGATATGTCAATGCTGTGATGTTATCCTTTGAAACTTAAGCAAGAGAGGAGTATATTCCCAGGCCCCCTTTCCCCTTTGACATGTCCCATCTATTTACCTACCCTTGCTCCCTTCCTCCCTCGAGAGATCCTATAACAGGACAACTTTTCCCCTTGAGAAACCAAATATTTCTATTATTGTAATTCCCTCCCGCATAGCCCTTAAAATAACTAGATTTTAATCGTATATATTTAATGTAAAGATTATTATTGTTACATCTCTCAGTGATTCTCTCCTTCGCTGGTGATGTCTTGGAGAGACAAAAAGCGAAAATAAGAAGGATTATCGCGAAGAAGTGTCACGATAACGCGTCGATTCTCTCCCGCATGTCACTGGTGCCCGAATTCCTACATTTGTCGCATTTGTAAATAAAATTTTTATCATCACATGACACATCGACGCGTTGTATTGTTCCCTTTTGCAAATTACCCAGAAATTACATATTTTGATTATGCATATTCGATGAATACTTATGTGATATGTCATAATATTATAGGTACGTGTAAGAAAGGGCATATTTAAAATGCAACACGATGGCGAAAAATTCAATCGTAAAATGAAATAAAAACACGGAGAACGTTTTAAGACACATAAATCATATTATTCGATATTCTCTCCTATAAAACATAAACGGACAATACAAAAAGATATTTACACTCTACGTAAATACATTAATTCGACATATAAGTGCGACATTAAACCATGTCTCATCGACGCACATTACTACGAACGACATACATACATCAAAGATTCTTGTATAGACATAAATGCACATTCGGTTGCCGTATTCGACGCGCGTAATTATTTTATATATGTTTTTATATATGTATTTCTCTCTCTGCCTTGTACCGACTCTTTGGCAATAAAATCTAGAACGTACTCTGCGGCGAGAAGACGGACCTTCATTTATTCATTTCCACGGTATGGAAATAATGAAGTCGCGTAAATCGCCATTAATCTTGTGTAATAATTCTCGAAGTGTTTCACGCAATTTCTCAGATGTTGCATTAATGCTTGACAGTTGATTAGTTTCAATGCGATAAAGTTGTTTGCCTTTGCGATAACGGGAGCAATATGTTTGCAATCTGCAGTCTGACGTTTTGTAAATTACATTTCCGTAATTATACACGATTAGAAAGAACGATATGTATATACGCAACTAGAGAGAAATGATTGTTACAAATTCTTATACGGGATAATTCGTTAAATAATGCGATAACAGTGAATGTTACTTGAACACATTTTTCTCTCCCGCTTGTAATATTTACATGTAGGAGATGTGTTCTGTTTCGGCCGACTTGTATGAAATTTTGAATAAACGACAGAGGTTTATAACAATAATTTAAAATTACTTTCAGGTGAACGCTTAATTAAACGCTTTTTACATTTTACATAAATAAATAATAATACATTTCTGAAATTTTTCTCGCATTTTAAATAACTCGAAACGAGTTTCATTTTTGAACTATGCGATTACATGATTTTATTATTAAACTAATCTGATAATCTTACATTGACCCGATGAAAAATTTATCTGATAATTTTATATTTATAATAAAAAAGATATAAAAACATTTTTATTTTTGGACATCAAGTCAATATTTTTTTTCGAATGTGCAAGAAATTATATAAACAAATATTTATAAAAATTATCAAAATCTTAAGTGTATGTGTCAGACTTGATGAATGCCGCATATAATTTTACGAATGCAGCATATATTATTTATACATACATATATAAATACACTATAATTTTATACGTCTACCTTTGGTACAATTTCCCTCACTACTAATATATAACTAATATAATAATAAATTCTCTTTGTTATCAACCTTCGATCAGCTGAAATACAGGCAGCAAACGAGCGTTTAACGAGCGTTTTTTTCGATTTTCTTGTTCTTGAACTTCTTTAAAAAACCATAATTTTTTTACGTAAATATAAAGAATATAAAGAAATAAAGCTAAAAATATAATTATTATTGCAAATATTTTTCATGTGCTCGTTGAAATATTAAACATCACAATATCCGTCAGAAATTATCACAACTGTTTTGATGCAAATTAAATTCCTTTAACAAGGAAACGAGCTTTGTCAAATCATAATATATTAGCTCAAATAAGAACTAAATCCAAATGCATCGAGAAGATGCATTAATAATTTTCTAACACAATTCGAAGGTACATATTTGTTGACGCCTCATAGTGCTCTTAGTACTTGAAGTCTACATATTACATACGAAGATAATCGTGCTATCGAATAGCCGCGACGCATGTTTTCTAGTATCCCCAATAATCTCTGGTAACTCTGACCGTTTCGTGAGTCGAATTTTCGCGATTGACGCGATTTCTCTCAACTTCGATGACGTTTATGCAAACTTGTGTGTGCGATTTGCTCTTATATAAAGAGATAATTCTCGTAATCGGCATAGGAAGAGGCAGTCACATGTTTTGCCGAGATCGGCGTTGATGGAACGCTTTGTGGAAGTTGCTGCATTCGCGGTAACTGTACCTGTGGAAGATCCGCGCTATGAGGTACGACGATTCGCGGTGCCTGATTAATGGAACCTAAGGACGAGTGATGCTGATCTCGATGAATGATGTTGTTATTGTTGTTAGTGGCAATATTAACGGTTTTTCCAGCGAGATGATGCAAACTCAAATGATTGTTGTTGTCGATTCTCGAACTGTAATGGATAGGAGGACTGTCGTGGAGATCCAGCCTCGACATTGCCAGGATACTCGAGTCCGACGCCCACATGCTCTGAAACGACGACGATGTCGGATTGTGTAAGAGATTTGACTTTCTATTAAGCTCTTATGAATAATTCCGATAATGGCATAATTATATACGGATTGAATTTGACGACAGTATCTTTGTTTGAGAGTACACATGTTTCATAATCTCTATTCTTCAAAGATCGATGATTCATTGAATCTAATTTATTACACGAGATGAATGTCTCCTCTTTATAAATAAAACAAACTACTACTCACACGTTTTTTTCGCAATAATTTTCAGAAAAATTTTTCAAAAGATTTTATCAAATATGTTATATTTTATTTAGGAGCATTTTCAAAAAATTGCACCAGTTATAGAATAGAAAATTTAAAAAACAGAAAACAATTTTTTTCAAATAAATATCATAATAGTTACTTTTGCTCATAAAACGCAAATTTAAACGAACTGAGCACTCTCAGAATATCACAATAAATCAAATATACATACCTTTCGCCTATAATCTGGATTACGCCTAATGCGAAGGTGTCGATCTGTGCTGGTCCACCGTTGTGTGACTTTAAGCGGAGAATCGTCAGGGTGTAATTTCCTTTGGTACTCTTCACCTTCGCAGACCTCGTAGAGAGAAAACTGCTCCACTGGTTCCTTGGAGCTGTAGCAACTCAATAGCATCTGGATCAACTCGTCTACGGTGGTCTGCTCCGAGACCAAAAGGCTCTTGTATTTCGACTGTGAACGTTAAGTCCCCAATTATTGCAAAGATTAAAATTGTTTTTAAAAGAATATAATTTTTTATCATAAAATACTTAGTAAGCTATATAAACACAACTGAATGAACTTTATATTTTAAATTATTTTTAATGATGAAATGTCTTTTATTATTTACATCTTAATGGTATTTAATTCTTATGGCAAAATATATATTTAGTTTTAAAAAAATTGTATGATGTAATTGTAAAATTCACAATATATTCAAAAATTCAAAAATTTCTTGTATAGGAAAAAATATTTTTATTCTTAAATATTATACTTAATATTAAAATGTATCTCTGTTTGCTTAGAAGACTAAAAATTTATTTACCCCGGACATGAGTGCGCTGTCGTATATTTTGACAAGTCCGCCACGGCGCGTCTGCAACGAGAACCTGCAAACAAGGAGGAGGCATATGTAAGCATACAAGTTTACGTGCCGAAGATTCCGCGACTCTGGTAGAAGTCGGTGAGTTCAAAGGACACGAACAAGCATTACTCCTGTGTTAAAGCACCGGTTTGTGCCGGGGAGACAAACGCTCTCGTCCTGTATTACGTATAAGTCGCACCGGAAGTCTTATACTACCAAGAAAACATTAGCCGAGTCGGAAAACCGTTCTAGACGTCAAACAACTACAGCTTTTTTTTTATCAAATTGTGCAAAAGTGTACATAGCATTTTTTAGATAAAATATTATATCAAAATAATGTATTATAACTTTTGAATTACATTTACAGATACATTTAACATAACCGTTCGCGTGGAATCTTAAAAATATCCTCGTGTTTTCCTTAAAACTTAATCCACATAGCGTTTACGACTGACACCACCGTAAAATATCAAGAATTCCATTCGATTTCGCAACCGAATAGCCGATTTTACATTCCCCACGAATCGTGCAGCGACCCACACGACCATTTGTGCCCGAGAATTATATTGGCGAGCGACGTGAAGAACGTCGACTGTGTTATAACTCATGTTCAGTAGTCCACGAGACGTGTTTACGGTCACGAGCCCTGAAATTACGTCACGTAACCGACCGAAACCAAAAGGGTCGGGAATAAAGTATAAAAGTGGAGGGCAAGCAAGCGTACCTGGAATCACCGCGAGGATGGCAGGATTGCAAGACAGCTGGCCGCGCATCCTCGTCGAGCGGCAAAACGGTGCGCACGTTGGCTCTTCTTACGGTCACCTCCATGATCAGGTAAAACAATCGAGGATCGCGATGTCTCATGCGATACTTGTTCAGAAGGTTTTGCACGACCTCGCGACAGGTCGTCTCGTAAGTGATACTCAGGGTCTTATATTCGATGTCCGGTCGCAAGCAATTGGCATAGACCTTGATGGTGGTCTGCAACAAGAATTACAGGTTTAAGCATTCGAATTAGTCACGGTATAAAACTAGTCTAATCAGTCATAATGACATTCGTCGAAAAGTATGTGAGAATAAGTAGAGAAATCTCCTTTTCGGTTTAAGTTAATTTCAGCAACAACAAAGAGAGAAAGGAAGACGACGTCCTGTTTTGCGGCACGGCAAAAACCTCCAAAGACCGGGCCTTGACAATTAGTCCATAATTAACTCGGAGACAGGCGTTGCCCACGCACGCGGCATAAAACACTATCAACCCTTCCGATACGACTGGTTATGAGGGGATGCGTGCACCGAAAATAAACCAGACACCAGATCGCCCCTTTCGCAGATGCCACCTCATTCATGCATACGCTAACATCCGTTTTCTGGACTTATTGTATATATGCGGATTTAAGTTTATGGATGTAATTTTATGCAAAGCAGACAACTTATCGGAATATATATATATATATATATATATATATATATTTTTAGATTACAAAATTTCTTTAACTTTTAAACATAAAAATATTAATATTCTTATTTTTAAGTCATAATACACACTTTTATTTTCGTAGCAACCAGAATTCGCAATTTTCACACATTTTTAATATTAAGAACATTTGTATACCAGTGTCACAAATAAAAGGAACGTCAAATTTGGTGTTGCAAACACGTGTTTGTTTCCTATGCAATGTCTTCTCGACGTGAGTTATCGTTGATGAGATTTTACGAGTCAGTCGTACGCTTTTATAGCTTTGTCGAAAGTTTTTCTGATGCAGATCCGGTACAAACATGCAGACATACGATTTGAACGTGCTTGCACATTCATTCACGCGTGATGATTTCGCCAAAGCCAGTATAAATTGAAATCATCGCGTGAAACCGGAACCTGTGTTACGAAATCCAGTTGACTCCGTCCGGATCCGGCTGACAAGCCCCTATCATGTGAAATAAACACGTTTCGACGACAATCATGGGATTATATCTTCAATATGCTTATTACAATATCAACAATGGAGTCCGTTGCTGTACTGACGCAATCGCATGTAAGTTAGATTCGTCGAAATTATCCTTACATTTCGTCTTATTGTGCAATGTCAGGGGTCTTTTGAGAAAAAACACCGAAACATGCTGATTTACAATTCCAAAGCTGAATCGGAAGGAGAGAGAAATGAAAAAGAAGTGAATATTTATAATCTAACATAGTGCTACATTTTAAAAAGAGAATTATTAAATATCTTATTATTAATCAAGTGTAATGATATAAATACTCTTTTATGTCGATTTATATTGTTAATTAATGAATTAGATATTCTCATAAAAGAATCACACGAATTGAACGTATAAACCTACCGTAAAATTTTCGAAATTTTATGACAATTAAGACAATTGAGAGAGAAGAAAATATCGAACTTTATTTGATAAGTAACCTTCGCAGAAGTTTTCACAGAAGTGCATCTTTATGTACATGGATACAGAGAAATTTCTGATTCAGCTATTAGAATTCCAATGCGCTTACGTAATGGCATTTACGCAAGTTGCTTTAGTGTGTGTGTGTGTGTGCACCAATCTTTTGAACAGATTTTTTCCTTAATCATACCACAGATTTTTTCCTTAATTATACCACAGTGTTTCCTTAATTATACAAAGTGTAAAGATCATTATGAATCATTGATCTTATCAATAATGCTTTTCCTTTAGTATCACTTAAATAAATGATATGTAAAGTTAATGAAGAAATAAGGTATTTATATCTTATTATAAAATAAATCTCGAAGTAAAATAAATATAATTAAATGTAATTAAATCACGCGTATGGAATTAGTATGCAGTTTAATAACACATCATAGATAATTTTTCATTCTTCGTAAATAATTTTTTAGTCCGCTAATAACAAAGTAAATCATATTAAAGTGTAAATTAAAAAAAATTATATTTAAAAAATCAACCCACTAAATAATAAGAAAGATTAATAAAATGACACAAGAATGTGTAAATCATTCTTCTGCCTACATATGTATTGTATTTGCACAATGCGCGTTAGCTACTCCATTTTCCAACACACATTTCAGGAATAGCACACATCTCGTGAGTACAAACGATCGACCATGCTTTCCGATTAACGGCTAATGAAAGTGAAAATGCGGGAATTAGAAGGCATGCAATGTCAAAGCAAGGTCTGCGCTTCGTCAGAATCGAGAAAGGACGTACCACACTCGGTTACGAGCGGTAGACTCCAATATCTCGCACCCGGTTATATAGAACAGAAATACACCTTGGGATATTTCAGTGCGACATCTTTTTTTTTTCGAGTCAAAAATATTATTTGACTTGCACACGTGCGATCGATATCGCCGTCAAAAACGTAGCATCGATGATTTTTATCTCTATTTTAATAACTATAAAGCAAATCCAACATCGATACTTAATATAGAGAAGAAACTGAGAAAACTGAAAATATTAAATATCTTCTTATTTTTCTTAAGCTGTTTTGTTATGTCTCAACTTATGTATTGGACTTTAGACTGAACGCATTGTTCTGCGAAATGAATCCATACCTCGAACGAAGTTATCGACGTACACCTCACCTTGCATAATGTACATGATATCACCGCCGCTATTTATAAAAGCGCACAGAAAGGAGATTCTGATAACATGCGGACTGATTTTCGTGCCCTTGATCTTACGTTACAGTCAATTATTAAACTGCTACAGAAAGATTCTTTGCTATCGAGATGATAGCAGCTGTTACAGTATGCATCACATGCTATATATACAATAAGAAATTTATTAAAATAATAAAATAAATATTATATTTTTTACTAATATTATGCATAGTTTGTTAGATATTGATCAGGTAATAATGTAAATGAAAAATTTCATCATATACAATATAACGATATAAAATTATTAATTTGCACACCAAAATATAATTTATATTTAACAGCATAATTTATATAAAATTTCATAGAAAAATATGATATTTTTTAAATTATATAGTTATTTTAGGAATCTCATTAATTAAAGATCCATTTGATCGATTTATGATATTATCATTGCTTCTCATAATAAATTATAATTGTGTGCGAAGAAATTGTTTCGACGACTTCGCTTTTTATATATATTTGCTTTTTATACATGTTCATTAATTATACAATTTATGGCTGATTCCAAATGGGAAAAGCAGTTGTATTTTTATATCGCTCTAAAGACTGGTTCTGTAAATCGAAGCTTTAATGAAGAAGCCACATTGAGGAATTCAAAGAAGTCTTAAAATCTAGCCGCTAATACACCATATCGAGCTCACAATGCGGCAAAAAAATGAAACGTAAAATGGGATGGTGGGTGCCATATGTCACGGGATGCCCTCGTAATGAGGGGTCCAATTTAGCTGGAATCCATAAAAATCCCAAACTTACTCTTCGCGAAGCGGAACAGCAAGGCATAGTCTCTTCAGGATTCTTCAGATTCTATGTTATTAATTGCAACATTTAAAACAGCTTTGTTTTTTTCTACTTTTATCTCTTGCCATTTATTCGTCCTACTAGTAGTCCACCAGTAGTCCATTGGCGTTCTAAATATAGTCGCCTTTATCGCGAGCTTATCGTTATCGATGGCTCGGTTCCTAGCGCTTGTTCCGAAACGAACACCCGGTATATATATCATATGCTTCTTGATACATGTAACATTGCAGAACAAGGTAAACGACACCTTTCAACGGAAATGCTCTTTTAAACTAGTTCGCCTTTTTTCTAATTAATAAATAATCTCATTTTTGCATAATGAGCATTTTGAAATTCATTTTACATCGAAGGAAATATTGAAAGGAAGAGTTTAAATATTTTTTTATCAATATTATTTGATGTATTTTAAATGCTTATAAATGTCGAAAAAATTGCAATTAATCTGTCTCAATAATCATATAATTATAATCATGTAATCAAATTATTTGTGATCAAAGTTTAATATGTGATCTGTGATCATTTAAGCATTATTTTTTTAAAGTAAATTTCCATTTATATTCTGTGAAATATCATATTAAATATAACTAGGGGAGAGTGAGTCTGGATCGACTCACTAAGTTTTATTATTCTTGATACGTGTTGTCTCTTGCATGGCGCCGTCTATTTATAATATTTATTCTCCAATTGATAAGATGGGCAACGTCGACGCTATATCGCATGAGCGGCAATCAAATTAAATAGCGAAAAAAGTTATATACAAAGATAATAGATCCGCCGTATGTTTTATTTAAAAATTAATTCATTAATTATATGCAACTAATTACAACATATTATTACGCATTAAACTTTTCATGATACCGAATATAACATAAGATTTAATTGCTCAAACAACAACAAAAAATTCGCGTGTTGTTCCCACAATACATTTTGATTATAGAGCTTCACTGAAAGATTAGCTATCATAATTTTCAAATTTTTCTAACAAGATAAAAAAATTTTACTTATATTACTCATAAATAAAAAATATTAGGATATCTCGCAGGCTACGTAGATTCGATATATTCGGGACAATATATTCGTTCATTTCCATGCTACCCCACGTGAACAGTAGTTCCAATGGTAATCAGACATATATTGGTGAGAAGTCTCAGGTAAGAAGTCTCCGCATAATAAATTTCTTATCCTGACACTCCATTGAATCTTGCATCTCCTCTTACATGCGTGGCACGTGCTGTTCGGCCCTCAATCACCATTTTTCCTCACGGAGTCTTCAGGTACCATCGTTGCTCGAGCACGTGTTCTCTCTTCTCAGCTTCCGGTCGCAGAAGGGCCTCGAGGATAGCGTAAAACAAAAACTCGTTTCTAACGAAGAGAAAAACGCTGCGCTCTGCTCTCTATACTTCGCTTAAAGATCCTGAATGTTGCAGGAGTAATTATGTCTTTCCCCCGCAAAAGGTAGTCCATTGAACATCATAGCGTTTCAAAAGCGTACAATGAACATTTTTTAGAATTATTAGGGCGTTCTATTATCGT